TAGGACATAGGCACATAATCTATAAAAACACAAGACCAAAGTCATACATCTCGATCTCTTCATCTTTAATTAAGTGTTTCCCATATTGCTAATAAAAGGAATCCCAAGCAGTCTTTGATGAGGTGATCGTGTGTGTGCAAGGATGCAGGGCCTATCAAGCACTTCCTTCAACCCAGAGCTACAGATTTCCAGACACGTGCAGGACACTCACTGGCAAAGGGGATGCAGAGCCCCCCCGTCCCGTTTAGGAAGGACAAAGCACAAGTGACGGATGTTGGAACCATTGCGTTGTGAATGGTTTTTGCCCTTCTGTTCTTCCATAACAGTTCTGCAAATAGAACAATAAGCCATTACTCTTCAGATACACTGTACTGAGTTCCAGCCTGTACCTTCCCCCCAAACCACACAATGCAGGGGGGGGTTACATAAAAGGATTTTCTAACAGGCCACTGCAGTCTTTACAACCTTTTAATTCTCTGGTTTTAGCTGCACAGCACACGCTGGAAAATCCCTTTATCAAATAGAATACATCCACCAAACGGATTATAAAACACTATTTACAACAACGTCTTTAAAACAACTTATTTGTTCTATAAATAAGTACACTCAAATATAAGTGTTTACACAAGGGCAAGCCAAACACAATAACAGAAAATGGAGGGAAGCGTGGTGTAGATAAAGGAAGAGCAGAAATAATTCACCTTTATCTGATGAGTCTGAATGGTCCAACTACTCCAGAGATCAGTGGTGTAACACCCACTGGACAGTTCGTTCCAATGGGTTCTGGAGTTCTCTCAGATTGTTCACCTCTATATCAAAATTTCATTCTCTTTTAAAAAACTCATTCTGTGAGTTAGCAAAAGACTTTTAAACAGGTAAATGTGTAATAATGCTGAAGCCCCTCTTTTCTGTCTGCAGTATAGACCCTCGCTGACTATAGTTTATTTTTATTTCTGGTTCAAATTAAAAGATCTGAACTGCCATCAGTTTATTACAATCTCTAACAAATGTATCTTGTGGAGATTTCACATTCAGATACCAGTCTGGCCTACTGCAGTATAAAGGAATTGAAAAGTTTGTAGCCAGAGGCAGTACAGCTGTAGGTGTCCATGTGTTTAACTGCAAATGCAACTTTTAGAGCTGCTGCTGTCTGTATTTCTGAGATTCTTTTCCCTGCCCTAAGTCAAACAGGAAGCATAAATAATTAGATTGCTGATGATCTTAATGACATACCCTTTAATCATCATCGTCATCATCCTCTGGGACAAAGATATCATGTTCTTCAAGTAGGGCTGCAAAGTTCTTACTGATCTGAGTCCCGACGTACAGGAAAGGGATCACAACGCTGAACACTCTGAGGAGGCCGAAGGGCGTCTGCAGGGAGTCAATTGGAAAAGATTAATCTTTACCAGCAAATTGCCCTGTGGCTGAGCCTGCACATTCCCAGCTCCACAAGGGCACAGAGGGCCCAGGGAGCAGCAGGAGAAATGCTTTGCTCTCCGTAGGGCCAGACCCCATCACCGCACAGCACAGAATCACAGAATGGCAGGGGTTGGAAGGCACCTCTGGAGATCATCTAGTCCAACCCCTCTTCCCAGCAAGTTCACCTACAGGAGGTTGCACAGGATCACATCCAGGCAGGTTTTGTCTATCTCCAGAGAAGGAGACCCCACAACCTCTCTGGGCAGCCTGTTCCGGTGCTCTGCCACCCTCAAAGTGAAGAAGTTTTTCCTCGTGTTGAGATGCAATCTCTGGTGTTCCAGTCTGTGCCCATGGCCCCTTGTCCTATTGCCGGGCACCACTGAAAAGAGTCTGGCCCTATCCTCTTGATACCCCCTTTTTAGATATTTATAAGCATTGATAAGATCTCCTCTCATTTTCCTTAGTCTTCTCTTCTCCAAGCTAAACAGATCCAGGTCTCTCAGCCTTTCCTCATAAAGGAGATGCTCCAGTCCCTTGACCATCTTCGTAGCCCTCCACTGGACTCTCTCCAGCAGTTCCTTGTCTTTATTGACCTGGGGAGCCCAGAACTGGACACAGTAGTCCAGATGTGGCCTCACCAGGGCAGAGTAGAGGGGGAGGATGACCTCCCTTGATCTGCTGGCCACACTCCTTCTAATGCACCCCAGGAGACCATTGGTCTCCTTGGCCACAAGGACACATTGCTGGCTCACGGTCAACTTCTTGTCCACCAGGACTCCCAGGTCTCTCTGCAGAGCTGCTTTCCAGCAGGTCAGCCCCTAACCTGTACTGGTGCATGGGGTTATTCCTCCCCAGGAATAACCTCCCTACGTTTGCCCTTACTGAACTTCATTAGGTTCCTCTCCACCCAACTCTCCAGCCTACCCCGGTCTCTCTGTATGGCAGCAGAGCATTCTGGTGTGTCAGTCACTCCTCCCAGTTTTGTGTCATCAGCAAACTTGCTGAGGGTATGCTCAACCCTATCCAGGTTGTTGAATCACAAAATCACAGAATCTTCTAGGTTGGAAGGGACCTTAAAGATCATCTTGTCCAACCGTCAACCTAACTTTGACAAAAATAAACACCCGCACAACAAACAAAAAGCAACACCACCACTAAACCATATCTCCCAGCACTACATCACTAGACTAGAACTAGACTGGCCCCAGTACCGACCACCTGGGGAGCACCACTAGCTACAGGCCTCCAGCTGGGCTCTGTGCCCCTGATCATAACCCTCTGAGCTCTGCCATTCAGCCAGTTCTCCATCCGCCTCACCGGCCACTCACTTAACCCACGCTTCCTGGGCTTATCTATGCGGATGTTACAGGAGACAGGGTCAAAAGCCTTGCCAAAGTCGAGGCAGACAGCGTCCACTGCTCTCCGCCCATCCATCCATCCATCCATCCATCCATCTCGTAGTGCAACCCCCAGCATCGGGACAAGAGGAACCCGCGGGGGCTCGGTGCAGGGAACACCAGTGGCTTAGGAAGGGACAGCGGCTACCGGTGTGAAACAGCCGCGTACGGGGAGTGCTTATCGCCTCCTCAGGGCGGGGACCACCGCCGGACCGCGCCGCCCAGGGGAAGCGAGCGGGGCCCGCCCCGACCCCTCAGGGCCGCTCCCGTCACCCACCCGCTGCCGAGCACTTCCGCACCGCCGCCCCGCCCACAGCGCGCCCCTCATTAGCCCAGACCCTGTCACTCACTCCCACCGCCCCACCCACAGCCGACACGCCAGCATCGATTGGCCAGCGCTACCGTCCATTACGCCGCCATTGGTCTGCCGCTCCCCACCCGCTCGCCCCTCACTCACCTTAACCGGCTTGGGCAAAATGGCGCCGCTGCGGGTGACGGTGGCGCTCCGGAAGGGCACAAGCTGCGTGGCCGGGGAGCTGCGCGGCCCGCCCCGGCCCGCCCGCCCCAAGCGAGCCGCGGCCGTGGCCAGTAGCCGCCCGCCTGCCGCCGCCGCCATTCTCTCTCTTGCCCGTAACGGCCGAGCCGAGGCGTCACCCGGGGCGGTGGGGCCGGCGGCTCTCGCGAGGTGTGAAGGGAAGGGCGGGGCCGCGCATGCGCAGGGCGGGCAGGGGCCGCCCCCGGGGGCAGGTGGGGAGCGGGCGGCCCGTTGCTGCCCCCTGGCGGAGAGGCTCGGTGAGGCGGGAGGGGGGGAAACCGGGGCGGGTGATCCCGCAGAGGGACATGGCGGGGATCGCCGGGCCCCGCAGAGGCTTCCCCCACGGGTGTGTGGGTGTGTGTGTGGGGGGGTACACAGCTCCATGGACCTACAAATCGCCAATGCTTTATTGGCTCCACGGCATAAAATACAAACGTACAACAACATCGTGAAACGCATAACACAAGTTCCGCAGGTAAAACAACGGCGCATGCAAAACCGCCTCTTTAAAAAAAAATAAAAATAAGAACACGTCATCTACCTAAAATATAAGCGTTTCAGAAGGGGGGGGGTACTCCTGCGTGGTGTTGGTAGTGTTGCCTGGTGGCTGTGGACATTATAAAGCACGGTCCGTGCTGGGGGAAGATGCCACCAACATGGGAACTTGCCCACATCCCCCGTGTGCTGCCGTGGGGGTGGGTTATTGAAGTTTCTCCAAAGGGAAAGTTTCTCTGCTGAGAAGGGTAAGGCTGGGGGGGTCACCCACCCCCAAACTGTAACAGAACTTGTAACAGAAAGCATCCGATCCTGGTTGTGAATGTCCACCAAACAGCTAGCGGTGGCCACAGGTAACATCCTGAGGTTACTCTAATCACTAGGACCTGGATTCAGTGGAAAACATCACCGCAGTTGTTCTATAAAAATACACATGTGCAGAAATAAAACAAAACATTATGGGCCTGAATGGGAAATCCCAGCCTCAGAAAAATAGAAGGATTTCATCAACTACTTTAGCACGATTGAGATCCGTTTTTGGCACGGCTTACTGAGGCCATGTCACGATTTCCCTTCCTCTTTCAGTCTTCAATATCTTTTAAATTCAAGCATTCGGATTCAAGCATTTTTCTCTCATTGCTTTTGTATTATTATGCTAAAGAAAACTCTTATAAAAAGACTTTACTTCAATACTTTAAGAAAAGTAGCCATTCAGGTTTAGTGTTCAGTCCCCCTTTGCTAGGGAACCTGTTCTATGCTGCCCAGACATTTTCTATTTTTAAAAAATAATAAGGAAAAGCGAAGGCAGGAGGTGAAACAGTCCAAACCTGAATGACAGTGTGTGGCAATCAGTCCCATTTTGCTGTAGGGGACAATGAAAACCCTCTGCTTTCCCTGTAACAATCTCTGCCTGCAGATAGAAGGAGAGGCCGCTCCATTAGCCAGCTGTGTGTGCAATCTCAGGAAGCTGAAATCCCAACCTTCTGCCTGGGGGCTGCTTCGAAGGTGCTGCCATCACCACCCATCCTCAGCCGAGCTGGTTTGACAGTCTCCATCTCAGAGGAAGCACCCAGGTGCTTCCTGCCTAATGAAAGCAAGCGGTGGTGGTCATTAAAAAACCTATACTCCTGCACAAATTCGGACATGGCTCCAATTATGGCTCCTTTTTTGCTCACTAAAGGGCCATCCCTTTTATGGTGAAGCCCTGACCAAGCGCATCAGAAGTCACGCAGCGCTTTGGAGACCTAGCAAAGGCCCAGGCACGGACAGCTGGGCTGAGCACAAATACTGTTCAGGATTCAGCCATTTTCTTCTCGGCGCTGCAGAATAAAACACAAAATTACTCCAAATGTGATCAGAGAGAAACCAGAGTGCAGCTCCTCATTTGCAGGATTTAGCCGGGATATGTACTAACGCAAAGGCAGGTAGCGTGGAAATTGTGCCATTTGAATGGGACAGATTAAAGCATTAAATATAAGCTCTTTAGTAGTGTTACTAGCACAATCCTGGCTTATTAAAAGCAACTAAGCTGCTTAAAAGTGAAACTGCCCTTAAATGAATAATACTGTTTCAGTTCCAGTTCTGACAGAACTGGCTTTGTTAATTTATTTTCCCTTTCAAGTCACTCCCAATTCTTGGGTCTCATGTAGAAACTGACATTACATTTTGATTTATTTTGGAAGTTAAATCTTTACCGTCAAACTTCCTTAAGTCTGAGACATCAGGAATATTCCTCTCTCTGTATTACATTTAAAAAAAAAAACCACATAAAAACACAGAAAAATGCTTGCCAAATCTGACCCGGCCCTAAAATACCCAGGCTCAGAGCGAGGAGGCACCAGGTAGTACCATCCCCTGCTGCTGCTGCCCTTCCACAGGGAAGGGGAGAGGTTCCCAGTTGGAAGGCTGCAGCACTGAACAATTTAAGGAGCAGGTAGGGAGCCAGAGCTGGCCTGTAACTCCAGCCAGCTGGGCTGCTGATAGAGCCCAGGCACTGTTTTTTCTGAACTGTTTTCACTTAAAAAGCAGAACAAAAATAACCCTCCCAAACTTGAATGTCCCTACTGTGAAGAAATACAGGCACGAACTGGAGAGGACTGGATTGCATCGCTCGTATGTGAAGGTTACACTCCCGCTGCCCAAAGTCATATTTGTAAGGTCTGATTTAAGATCTGATTTCCTCTAACATACCTCTGAGCCATAATTAGGCAGCAGGCTGGAAGCTCGTCATCCAAAACTACCAGAGAGGTATTTTCAAAGGCACCAAGAGTTAATGGAAGTCATCTGATTTCTGCATTGGCAATCTCTACTGGCTATTGCAAAGTATTAAGCTCGGTGCGTTTAACTCCAGAAAGGCAAATAAGTTCCTACCAGTTATGACCTGGAATGGCCTCCTGCTTTCCTAGCAAGGCTCCTTAATGAAGCAAGGCAATAAAAACACGTTTAACACTGTTAGATAGAAAGCACAAAGGCCGCTTCACGCATTTTTCCTGCTCTGAAAAACAGCCCCTGCCAAGAGGATAAGGGAGAAGATTTATAAACCCCCATCTCCAGGGTGTTCTCGTCACCCACCTAGTCGTACCATCTGCCTTGTGGCCAAGGTTCCTGACCTACTGAAGGACAAGTCTGTTTCTGTAGCGAGGTCACGGGCTTGCCTCCCCACAGCCCTTCTCACCCGCTGGGAGGATGGGACATGCTATCAAGATCAGCTGAGCGATGCCGACATGAAAGAGGAGGGAAGTGCCAGCAGGTCAGGCACTGGCTTTGGAAGAAGGCAGCAATATGGCTTTGATGGTCAAGGGACAAGCGTAGACACTGCCAACACGCAGTCAGTCAGTGCAACGTGTAACTCACTCCCACACCTTCGCTTCCCCTCCTGGGACCAGCCCTCTTCTCCTCCCTGCTCCTCCACAGCCTCTCCTCCGACCGCACAGCTCTGCCAGGCGCTGGGCAGAGCCACAGCAGCGGGAGAGGCTCTGCAAGACTGCAGCTCTGGATGCTGTCTCAGGCAAGCTGCCCAACGAGCCGGCTCAGCCCTATATGGCACTTTGCAGGAGCTAAAGTCTGCACAGAGGCTGATAAATTCTCCCCTGGGAAGACAAAGAAGCTTTAGTGTCCCTTTTTTGGAACAGGGAAGGCTCAAACGGGAGACATTAACAGGCTTGGCTACCGCTTGACGGAGTCCAGATCAGCCCTGGGGAGCTCCTGGTCCTCGCTTCAGACCAGGCTCAGTGTCTCCTTTTCAGCCTCGCTGCTACGCTCGGATGCAGAGAGACAGATGCAAGCCCGTGAAATCCACATCCTGAGGGATTTAACAGGGAGGAGGGTTAGTGCAGATGAAAGTAAAAAAACAATGACGACGCAAGAGCCCAGTCCTCGTCGCCCTGGCTGCTGGACCAGCCACAGCCATGGTGGCTCACACGTGTCCTGTGGTGAGAGAGGCACAAAGCTGGAGGCACCCGCCAGGACCAGCGGCCCGTCGGAGGCATTTCGTAAGAGCCCAGCCTTATCTGTGGCGAAAGAGCAAAGGCAGAAGGACTTCGGCGCAAGACCATAAACGCTGACCTGTGCAAACTTCCACGCTGAGAAACAAAACCAAAAAGAAAACCAAAAGTGGTGAAGAAGAGGTGGGCGATGAAGCACCCAGAGCATCCACCACGCCAGGATGGCAAGGGGCCAAGTCCGCTGGGTGAGGCTCATGGTCTACGTGCCGGTTTGGGCCCCCTCCACACCTGGTATCACCAGCGGAGGAGAGGGTTTAAAGGCAGCCTCCCCTGGTATTGCACTCTCCAGCTGCATAAAGCCTGACGGAAATGAAATGTGAGGTTTGTGGAAGACCTGGGTCCCTCCCACACGCTAGTGAAGCACACACGCACCGCACACTTGGCCACTGGCCAGGCCACGGGGCAAGCAGTGTCCCTCGCATCGCCCTTCCCGCCTGTGAGACAGGCTACCGGGCATCGGCTCGCACCCCCGGTCACGGGTGTCCCCTCTTCTGCCTCTCCTGCCACTCTCGTCTCAGCACCGCGATCTCCTGCCCGTACCAGCTGTGCAGCTTGGAGAAGCAAGCCGTCTCCGGTGACACTGGGCTCTCCGGCATGGCTGGCGAGAGGCCAGGCACCGGTGACCCCGCGGCACTGCCGACGGCCGAGCGCCGGCGTGGAGGGAGGGGTGGGGGCTTCACGTGCCCCCCATCACGGTCAGGGCAGGCAGCCCCCCCAGGGACGCCACCACCACTACCCCAGGTGGAGTAACCATTCTCCAGGACGGTGGGCTTCTCCTGGAGGGGCAGCAAGGCAGGGTTGGAGAGATGCCTCTTCCTGCTGGAGGAGGAGGATCTCCGCGGAGACTTGTGGCAAGCGGCCAAGGTCTTGGAGGCCTCCTCCAGCTGCTTCTCCAGCTCCCTCACCACCAGCCGCATGTAGTCGAAACTGGCCCGTGAGAGTGCCTTCACCCAGGCCTCCATGGCAGCCTGCCCATCGGCCACCAGCACATAAGCCCGGGCACCAGCGTCGTCAAAGCGGATGGCGAAGGCGAACTCCTCGGCAGCCTCACACAGCTCCACAGTGCAGCCCTCCAGCACCACCAGCCCCACAGGCTCCCGGCTCTCCTTCTCCTCGAAGTAGAAGAGGAGGTTGCCCTTGAGGACGAACCAGCGGCGCTGGTAGGAGGTAGCGTGGTGGTGGTGGGCATGGTGGTGGTGCCGCTCCACCCGCTTGCGGAGGAAGCCGGCATGGTCGGCGGGCGAGTCACAGGTGGCATAGTGGGCCACGCTCCGCTCGTTCAGCTTCATTGCCCTGCCTAGGAGCAGAAGAAGAGAGGGGAGAGGTCAGGTTGGGGTGAGGAACATCTCACCTGCCCCAGCGGGAGAGGCCTGATCCCTCCCCGAGCCCATCATGGGGAAAAGAAGCCCCAACTCCAGTAGCCAGCGCTGCAGGACAGCATCTCACCCAGCGAGTCCCCCCACAAATGGGCAGGCTGGCTCCTTACCACGGAAAGGTGGTCATCACCACAGCCCCACCACTGAAACACCTGCCTCTCTGGAAACAGCAACACCGCTGCTTCGTTTCTTATTCTACAAGTGACCTACTTTGCTGTTTTTTAATGGGGCACATCAAAGAAATTTGCTTGTGTGCCTGGGAGGCGTTCATTCCGCTCTCTCCTCTATTACAGGGCAGGATAAGGAGGGTGTTTTCAGACCCAAGGGCTCTGGGACCTCTGTTTGACCACCCTCTCCCCATCTCCACGCAGGACCACCCATCCCCACCAGCCCTCCAGCAGCAGCACCCCCAGCCCCAGCAGGGTCACCAGCCGCAGGGTGCGAGGTGCCGTACCGGCTCTGCGGGTCAGACCCCAACCCCTTGTCGTCTTCCTTGGGCGGGCTGCTCCCTTGCCGAGGGCCTCCGAAGCTTCACCGTGGCGAGCCCCATCCCTGGTAGGAGGAAAGACGGCAGAGAGGGAGTGACAAACCAGAACAGCTTGGGACTGGCAGAGAAAAAAGCTGCACAGCTCCCATCCCAGAAAGCCAGGGCCCTTGGTGCACCAGAGCAGCCAGAGACACGCGCTGCAGGCGGTGGAAACCAGGGTGGCAAAACTGGGGGCACTTGGCATTGGCTTCAAAGCCTGAGCTCCATCCCAGCTCAGGCCAGCGCTCCCGCGGGTTTGTTTTTTGGCTCCCATGGGTTTGTTTCGGTTTTATTGCAATAAAAACAAAAGAGCTTTTGCAGAAGCCCGCTGCTGCACCATCAGCCCCGTGGCTGGCCGTTTGGCCGGGTGGCAGGTCCCGCAGAAGGACGCGGCGGGCGCAGCCTTTGTGCTGCTACGGCTGCAGAGGGATGTCCAGCCGCTAAAACTCTGCTCGCAGAAAATATGCAGAAAACAAACCACAGGCGCCACTCCCCGGGCCAGATCCGGGGGGGGGGGACACGCTCCCCACTGCGGAGCGACCTCCAGCATCCTTCCCGGAGCCCTTCTCCTCCATCGGGGCTGGCGGGGCAGGGCTGAGGACAAGGGGCCACGGACCCCAGTTGGAAAATGGGACCAAAATCCCATCAGAGGCACGGAAACGATGCTCCCCCAGGGGTGGGGGGGGGGTTGGCCCTCGGCGCGGAACCTCGAGGAACCTCCAGCCCCGCACTCGGGCTGAGGACAGTCGAGGGGAGGGGAGGGGGCCGTGGGGGTCCCGTGGACTCCGCGAGTGGGTGCGTGTGCGATGCCGGGCTCCGCGCCTTTGTGTCCCTGTGCGTGTTTGCCGCCTGCCAAGCGGCCCCCCCGTCGGCCCCGGACCCCCACCCCCCT